GAGGTTCGCAAAGTTTCCATCGAGTCACGACCGGTTTCACTGTTCGAGCCTCTCAGAGGCGAAGGGGACAGGTGTGCTTGCGATTTTTCTGTGGTTAATTGTAAAAGCAACGAACTTCGATAGCATTCAAAACTTCTCTAAAGAGTCATTTTTGATGAAAATCCATGCCTGAGTTAAAACCCGCTTCGTATTCGCTCTCTGTGAAAGACTCTTAAGTAGCCCGAGTGGTAGCAAGTCTAACAGCAACTGCTCGCTGGCAAAGCTATCGATGCGTGCTGGTTTGTTTCTCCAGCACATGCACATATCAATTTACTATCGAAACGAATGAACAAATACAGAAACTGGTAGAACTGTTGGCGAAATCTAATCCTTAGTTTCTCGCACGACAACAGCATTACCTCTCTCACCACTCCCTGCCAGCCAGAAAATGAAGGTAACCTAAAAAACGACTCGTGAATAAATGATCGATGCAGCAGTTTATTTTTTTCCACTGATTATATAGCCCCGCATGAGGAAGTTCGAACAACAAGCAAAATCGTCCAACAGGTTATTTCAGCTGTTTTTTCTGGGTTTGCAACGTTAACAGGGATAAAAACATTAATGATCCCCGAGAAAGGCTTAATCCAGTGGAACTTGTTTAGTGCGTTGCCATAAGCATTTGTTTTTCACATATCACTGTAAAGATTCCAGCCTGATCTTTCTGTTGCTGCTTGCGCTTGGATTTACTTATCAATTTATCAAAGAATAAGTTTTTGAAGCATATTACAGGTCAACATATCAGCTGCAACCTGGTGAATTTGAAATCCACGGAAATTTGCGTGAACAGTTACATCAAAAGCGCCATTCGAAAGCATCATCGAGCAGTAGTTCAAGTCAGCGGTCTCAAGAAGCAAGCCGTCAAAAACAAGGATTATATGATTTAACAGATCCGCGTCTATTCTATGCTAATCCGTATAGCAGGTAATTACGCAAAAACAGCACAAGTAAAGTTAGCAGACAAGTCCTGTTAGTTCATGCCCCTCCATTTTGAATTTGCGCAGTTTTGTTTGTGAGTTATCACATCGCGCAAAATGTAATGTAGATTTACAGGTCAAGGATGCCTTAAAGGCTTTGCAACAAGCGGCAAATCGCACCATTAAAATTTCATTACCTTTTTTGGGGTATTAGACTAAAATTGGTTCAAGCCTGATTGCAAAAGGCATGAAGACTGCATAGGTCTGTATATAGCCGAGATTACGGCCCTCAAATTTTAATTGTCTAACTTTTGTAGTTCAGGGGTTGGACTTCCTGAAAGACATAAATACAAACAAGATCCTCTGTTATAAGGCTTTTGGACTTTTTTGTTCCTATCTTCAAGTGAAGTTAATTAGAGGTGTGCCACCCAGAACGAAAAGCTTAAGTTGTATATTGCACGCGGGGGCATCTATGTAACATTACTAATATGAGATATCCACACTGATTGTCCGAAAGATATTGCTATTCTTCGTATGTATCAAACAAATTTTGAACTAGCGAACTCCATTTACTGTGAAAAAAGCATTTAGCTACGCAAAAGCGATGATGTCCCCACTAATGGAGATGCAAACGTTATCGCCTGGTATATATTCGGATGAAGACACGAACGAAGAAGACGAATTTCGAGAGGTGAACGAAAAAACGCGGCTTTTGGATGCGAGCAGTAACGGGTATGCTATTCAACTGAACGTTTGCAATACACAGTAGTTCAGGCTATTGCATAGTTAATATCACTAATTTATTCTATCGCCATTGTCATTGTTATTACTATTATTATTAACATTGTCGTTATTATTATTACCGTCACCATTGCCATTATTACTATCATTATTGCTACTCTTATTACTGTTCATCTTCGCTCATCAGATTAATAATAGTTCTAATCAAGGCGTCGAATTCAGTGGAAGCTAGTAAGAGATGTAGATAGAAAGTGTTATTTTAGTTAAACGAATTTTTTTTTGAGTTCCAAATTTGAGGCCTGGTTTTTTTGAGTCATTGAGGCTTTTTCACTTGAACTACTTGCTAAATTGGTAGATTTGTTGTTCTTTAATGTCGCTAATTCGTTACTGTACTTTTTCAGTAATGTTTCACATGGGAAAAACGGCAGTGAATATGCAGGGCGTGAAAGAAAGAAGATGGATGATGCGAAGCCGGACGGAAAATCGGGAGTAGTAATCCTGGAAATAGAACCCAATGGTGGAACTGCTCTTGTGCATCCTAGAGCTCGTGCTTCGGCACTGAAGCAGTGTAATACATCGCCGACGACTGAAAAGGAAAAAAAAGTGCAGCGAAGCCGAAACTCATCGGTACAGAATAATGGTTCTTCGCCGGTAGCTGCTAAGCAATCAAGGCAAAGAAGCCGAAGTTCAACAGAAAACGACGGTGATGAGCAAACTGCAGTGAGTCGAATCGAAGCAGAGGCATTCCTACGTGATACTAGGCCCGAAACATCTCCTGCTGAGGTGCAAAGACCTCAAGTGGCAAGCGATTTGGAGCCTAGGACGATTGTTGTAGGCACTGAACCGAGGACGTGTTTTTCGGATCCAGAAGGTCTGCCTTCGTCAAACGATGAGCTATCGAGCATGGTGAGTGTGAAAAATTATATTATTTCATCTGCGCAAAGAGTCTCAGCTAGGAGTTCAAATGTTTGAGATGCAGATTAGACATTCACGGACATCGTGCAACCTTTGTGAATCCTTTTTGGCCGACACATGCTTTCTTACACGCCGCAACACAATCTATTATGACAATTCGCAGCAGTCTGGGTTTTTACAAAAAAATTTCAGGGAAAAAAGGGTGCCAGAACAATTTTGTGGACTTAAAAATTCTTTGGATGAGTTTAGCGCTGATGACATTTTTTGTCCACTTCAGCGCAGTTGTGTTTTGCGAAGGATCAGTTAAGAGGCAGAAATCCTTGAAATCTTCACTTTTGTGGACATATGATCACTGGCAAATCGGCTTAGGCGAAAATCCTGTGGTTCCAGTGCGCCGGTATTAAGCATAGTTCTTTGCCCTGCTCATTATATTTTTTCCGATTAAATTATTTGTTGATGGGAATCAGATTCCCTGTCTTGCTTCCAGAAACATTGTCTTCTGGCAATCTCTTCTGGCAATTGCAAGTATCCGACGGCAAACATTGCCGTCGGATACTTGCAATTTACAATGTGCTACTGTTTCGGCTATTATCATTTGCTTCAATCTTTTACAAGCAGTAAATTTTCGAGAAAGTTTCGGCTCCTGGGTTTAATATCGCATCGTTAAAATTATTTTAAAAAAGCGTCTTCACATCCAAAAATTGATCATTTACAAGGAAACCCTGTGTCATATGTTTGGATGGGACTAAGAAGCACAATGATTTGTTTTCAGTGTACCAGTTCGCCATTATTCTATATAGGGAGCTCTTAGCTCTATTGTGGCATAAAACCGAAATTCTTCCTCTCTGTATTTGTTACACTTATGAGAGGTGAAGGCATTCGCAAAAAAAGTAGTCCAAGTACTAGCTAGCAAGCAACAACAGCAACCATGTGCTGACGAAGCTGTCGAAAGCTGCCTCTTTCGAGCGTTACTTAGAAGCAAGCTAATGGCGATTTGTCTCTCCAAAATTTTCCATTTCGAATTTTTTTTTTGCTCAGCAAAGGAGTAGAACCATCGATCTACTTCCTGCTGTGCGATGCACGCAAACTTTACCTACTGTAATCGTAACTGTCGATTTCAGAGACCGAGGCAATCCCGATATGCAGTACCGTATTATGCACGTGTGCAAAATGCCCAGGTAACATAAAACGTCATATTTTTAGCATGTGCTTTTTATGCGTTTTTTGCAGCAATGCTATGCGAAAAACAGCAATGCTATGCGTTTTTTGCAGCAATGCTATGCGAAAAACGCATATTGACGAGAGGTTGTCTGTGTGTGTGTGTGTGTGTGTGTGTATATATCTGTGTGTGCGCAGCGCGTCTGTACCGATTTTTCATCTCGAGACCCACAAAAGATACAGGTCTGAGATTTTGGAGAGTTAATCTACATGCACGTACAGGCCCCCATCCCGAAAATGAGCGGTCTTTCCCGCGTGGTACCCACGTAAGAGGCCGCCAAAGTTTTTTGCGGGTAAGCTGCTAACTCGCGAACCAAAAAAGCTAGAGCGCTGAAATTTTAGGGAAATGTTCCCCGTCCAAATAGGCGCTAATGAGCTCAAATCCAACACCCGGGTAAGCGTGGTACCCGCGTACGAGCCCGCCAAAATTCCCGCGTAATTTCATAACTCGGGGATCTGAAATGCTAGAAAGCTGAAATTTCAAGGAAATGTTCCCCGTCCAAGTAGGTACTAATGAGCTCACACCCGACCTCCGGATAAGCGTGGTACCTGCGTACGGGCCCGCCAAAGTTCTCGCGTAATTTCATAACTCGGGGATCTGAGAAGCTAGAAAGCTGAAATTTTAAGGGAATGTTTCCCGACCAAGTAGATGCTAATGAGCTCAAACTCAACCCCCGGATTAGCGTGGCACCCGCGTATGGGCCCGCCAAAAATTTCTCCCGCGTAAATTAATAACTCGGGGCTCTGAAATGCTAAAAAGCTGAAACTTTAAGGGAATGTTCCCCGTCCAAGTAAGTCTCAACGAGCTCAAATCCAGACATCGAGCATGCGTCGTACCCGCGTGCGGGCCCGTGGAAGTTTCTTCTAGTAAGTTGCTAACTCAGGAGCCAGGAAAACTAAAAAGCTGAAATTTTAACGGGGTGTTTCCTGCTAGTTCTGGCAGCCAGTCTTAATTTGTTTAGCTTGAAGCATTTGCCGAAAAACCGATGCCGGTAGCGACAAAAATTGCGGGGAACCCTGCAAAAAACGCATCTTCGCACGGGCAACCCGTGCGTTAGCTTATTTTTTCATCTCCTACCAGTTATCATCAGCTATACAATTTATCAGCGCTTGTTGTTTAGGAAACTGCTGAAACAGACACACCGCTGCAGAATTTTTTAATGCGTGTTAGTGTCAACGAGGACCTGCCTCGGAGCAATCTTTCGGTTGGCAGCAATTCTCAAAGCTACAGGTTTCCGGCGCAACACGCAACAACTTTTGTGTTGCAGCAACCCTTCGTAGAACAAGACTCGGAGCAGCAGCGACGACAGCTTTCGGTTCAGAAACCGTCTGATCCAACTCCAAAATCTCGTCACAAAAGTCATCATACCTTTGTATA